AAAAAAAATTCTTAAAATTTTAAATATCCAATTTTTTTTAATAAGAAATTAAATTTATAAAAATGAATATTTAACTTTATTTTAGAAATATAAGAATTTTTATAAGAAAATTTAATATTTTCTTCCTTCCCAATACAACAATATTTATTCTCCTCATTCTCAATACAATACTATTCACTTTCCTCTTTCTCAATACAATTTTATTTACTTTCCTCTTTCCCAATACAAAACACTGTTCAAATTTATCTGTTTTTCTCCTCAACCCCACTATTTAAACATTTCAAATTTCATACTACCAACATAACACCAACATTTCAAAAAAACACTATATGTATCCCCGAGATTAAGAAAAAATTTATAATGTTTTTCCCAATCTCGGGGATATATATAGTGTGTTTTTGAAATGTTGGTGTTATGTTGGTAATATAAAATTTGAAATGGTCATATAGTGGGATTGAAGAGAAAAAAACAAATTTGAACAGTGTTTTGTATTGGGAAGGGGGAAAGTGAATAGTATTGTATTGGGAATGAGAAGAATAAATAGTGTTGTATTAGGAAGGAGGAAAGTTGCTAATTTAACGAATTCATGATCGACATCCTTTCTTTGATTGGACTGAATATCCAGTAACATAGGAAGTTGCTAGTTTAACAAATTCATTGTTCTCATTTTGTAGCATTTTCTTTACTTTGAAATAATGTCAAGTGATGTATCATGTTAAAATGTATTGAACCCCATTAGATTACTGTCCAAAAGAACCGAGAAAGGAGGCTCCGACATATGTTAAGAAGAAATAGTTCAAACTGCCGATATGGGACTTTAACACGTCTCCATGGCCCCACCAACGGAGGCTAGGTGTTGAGACAGAGTGGTAAACCATATACGTGGAACCCCGTTAGATTATTCTTCAAAAAAGATATATACCTAGGGAAAATGGTCCATGTCTAGCCATAACACATCATAAAGGTTTTTTAGTTTACTTCCTATTGTATGTGTAGTATCAGTGAAATGTATAAGCTGATTGCTAACGTTTATAAACGATCTAATACTCCCAATGTTCATAGATAATTATATGATGCGAGCTATAAGAGTCAACTTATGTATTTTGTGCTTTGCAATGATCGTTGTCAGTTGGCACAAGAGAGAGCCCTCCCTGTGGGACCTGAGGAAGGCGGCTTTGGGATGTCATATGATCTTCTACATGGGCGTGCCGGGTTCTTGTGGGCTGCATTGTTTATAAACAAACATATGGGTCAAGAAACAGTGCCATCTGACCTCCTCAACCCGATAGTTGAAGCAGTGATAGCAGGAGGAAGGGCAGGTGCATCTGATCACGCTATGTGCCCCTTGATGTACAGATGGCATGGTACTAGATATTGGGGTGCAGCCCATGGACTTGCGGGTATATTGCACGTTTTGCTTCATTTCCCATTGTCTGAAGAGGACACGGAGGATGTAAAGAGGACTTTACGATACATGATGAGCAAAAGGTTCCCTCATACTGGTAACTACCCATCAAGAGAAGGTAATCCGAGGGACAGTTTGGTGCAATGGTCTCATGGTGCAGGCGGCATGGCTATCACCCTCTGCAAGGCGTCTGAGGTTCGTAAAATTTGACTGCATTTTAAGCAATTCAACAGTTTATAAAATCAAAATTGGGACCATTTACCAATTTACCAACACAGATTGGGTAAGCGTTGACCGGTTCACTGCCCTCACTTATGGGTAAGATTCTCGGTCAAGCAAAATGATTGGTGAACAGCATCATCTCGATTCACATTCCTTCTTCCAGGTTTTCCCAAATGACCGGGAGTTCCGAGATGCAGCGATTGAAGCAGGGAAAGTGGTGTGGAAGAGTGGGTTGGTGGAGAAAGTGGGGCTAGCTGATGGTGCGTCCGGGAACGCTTATGCCTTCCTTGCTCTCTATCGTCTAACGGGAGACAGTATCTACAAGGAGAGAGCCAAGGCATTCGGTGGCTTCTTGTATCACAATATAAAGAAGCTTACAAGTATCACAAATTCTCATGGACGCTATTCCCTTTTCCAAGGACTCGCTGGAACCGCTTGTTTATGGTGCGATGTGGCGAGGTCCGAGAAATCGAGATTTCCCGGGTTCGAAATTTAGGAATCGGTGTTTTTTTTTATGTATAGTGAGCTTGGATATGGAAGGCAATAAGCAAGATGAGAGACATACAAAGCTACTATAAGAATTATTTGACCAAAAGTGTAATCATATCTGCAAATCCAAGGAATAAAACAATCAATTAGCCTGCTCTTTGGCCGGTTCTTTGGCCGGTTCTTTAGCCGGTTCTTTGGCCGGTTCTTTAGTCGGCTCCGTCGGTACGTCTTTTTTACTAGTCGTAATAATTTTTAAGCTCATAATGTCTCCGATCTTCCGAAACAGTTTCTTTTTGCTGATGTTGGTGTAGTTTGCGTAGTAGCTGTAGTAACTCTTGTCTTCCGTCTCTTCTGTATGGCTGCTACTTTCATTATGTGCGTTTTCCCCTTCTTCAGCCCGAGCTGCGGTCCCGGCTGAATCATTGTAAATCGACAAAGCTCTCCGGTGTTCGTATTTCGGTCTTGGCGTTTGCGGTTCCGACTTTGGTGATGCTGCAGTATCGAAGATGGACCCTTTAAGCGCTTCCGCTTTCTCTGGATCATCATCGTCTACAAGGATATCAGACACACTGTCCTCTTCTTCTAGTAGTTCAGGTTCTCTCTCTTCGTCTTCTTTGTTGTACATTTTCAAATCGTCCAAATCGAAACTGAAAGTTTGTTGTGGTGTAGTTCTTCCATCTAGATGATCTTCGTAAAGCGAAGAAAGTGGCGAGTTGAAGACATCCGCTTGATCTTTATCGTCACACGGTGGTTTACTAATCACTTCAGCTTTTGCAGCTAGCAATCGTTTGAACTCCTTGACGTTTTCCCGAGCTGCAACTTCGTTGATCCTTAACCGTTCGTTTTCCTTTGTGAGGAAATGCAACGCGTCTTCTTTTTCCGCTAGCAAGTCTTTGAGTTCGGAATTCTCTGATCTAGCCATGTTGGCGGCTTCTTTAGCAACATTTGACTCGCTGATGGCTTGTTTGAGTATGTCTCGTAACTTAAACGCTTCTTCTTTTGCTGTCATTGCGGAGTTCTCGGCTGCTACGATTGCTTCCTTCAGTCTATTGTTCTCGTGTTTAGCCAACGCGCATTCTTCGTCGGCCCTTCGTATACAGCTTATGAACCCCATCTCTTTTCCGTTCCATGCCAGATGTGCTTCTTCCGCCTCTACTCTCAATTGGTCGACTGTCTCCTTCTGTAACTCGAGTTCTCTCTCGAGCTCATCGATCCGCTGTTTATACTTGTCTTCTTGGGTTTTTAGCATCTCCTTCAATTGTGCTAGTTCGGCTTCGGTTGATTTTAGCTTTTCGTTCGCCGTACTGGCTTCCAACGCCACTTCCCTCAATGCCGATGCCAAACCATCCATCGCCATTTTGCTGTTCTCCTCGGCTTCAGTTGCCAATTTCACTTCGCTTTTCAGCCTTCTGATTTCGTCTTTTAAAGCTTTGGTCTCCCCTTCAAAATTACCCTTTCGATCTACCATTGATTCGTTCCTCAACCCCTTATTCTTCTCGACATTCGCTAGTTTCTCTTGGAGAGCAGCGATTTCGAGCTTCGACTCTTCCAAATCCATCTTCGTCTCCGTGATCTGTCTCGTTTGGAGCATGAACGATTCCAACATATGCGACTCCGATTCCTCCGCTTTCTTCAACTTCTCTTCCAATTCCCGAATCTTTTTCTTGCTTTCCAACAACGAAGCTATCTCCTTATCTCTAACCTCCATCTCTTTCCGTGACCTCGACAGCTCATCCTTGAGACTCTTAAGCTCCGAAAAGACTCGTTCGGCCTTCTCGGGCGACAAACCCCGCTCTTTGGTCTCCTTAAGCTCAGCCAAAGTTCGGTTTCTCTCACGTTCGGCTGCATCTAACCTCGCCTTCGTGTTCTTCAGCTCCTCCTCTAAATCAGCCATTTGCTTCTGCATCATTGCAGCCTTCACTATCCGATTCTGTACAAGATTAATATCATAACCTAATCAAAAGGAACCAGAAATTGCGTTTTTTAATGATTGAGAGATGGAATTGAGATATACCTGGGATAAACTAATGGAGTTGCGATCGAGAGAGACGAGGGCTTGTTTATCGACTTGCGAGGCGAGAGCATCTCCTCTACAAATCTTGGATCCAGAAATGGTTCTGATGAGAGCAGAGGAATGCTTCTTTTGCCCAAATTCCGAATACCCAGATCTGGAAATCAAGATGTAACGTATAAAAGGATCATCGATCGATAGGAGAGAAGAAAAGAGAAGAAGAGTACCTGGATTTGGAACGTAACATGGTACAAGAAGCTTGGGGCTGTCAAAATTCAACTATTTCTGGAAACCGATGAAAAGTCGGAAGAGAAATCGTTGAAATCCAGTGGAGGGTTTGAAGGAGTCCGAGGTTGGCGGGTACTCGCCTTTCAACCTAATAATGCTTCCAGTTCCAGGGGGGAATGGACCATTCCAAGCCTGCATGGAAATCAAATATCACCTCACCATTCCATTTCTTCCTAAATTTATTTTCTAAATAAATTATAAATCACATCGGAGACCATGTTTTTAATGCTGTGATTACTTGTGGAGGGAATTACATGCTTGGTCCCTGTGGTTCCCGTTTCCTTACGGATGAGGGTTGCTAAAATCTAAAACTACAGGATTTGGTCCCTGTGGTTTCCGTTTATCACGCTTTAGGTACCTCCCTCTAATTCTGTTAAAGAAAAAAATACAGTATATATATATATATATATATATATATATATTCTAGTATTTATGTGGATAATAATATATTAGCTTCCAATATAAAATAGTAATTATAATTGGAAGAAGAGAAAAAAGGATGGGACAAATCGACCAAAATGCTCTTAACTTAAATGACTGAAAAAATTCGTTGTTATTCCATTAAGGGAAAAGTGCATCAAAATTGAATCAATTTTCATCTAATTTCTATTTTAAGAAACCAACTTTTAAAATCGTTATTTTTGAGAACCAATTTGCACTTAATTCCTATTTTGGGGAACCAACTTTCAAAATCGTTATTTTGGGGAACCAACTTACACATGATTTCTATTTTGGGAAACCGACTTGTAAAATAATTATAGAAAAATAATTAAAATTTGTTTTTTTTCAAAAATTAATGCAATAAAATATATTTTTTCATTTTAAACCTCGTTTTTTTAATTCAGATATCAAATTGAACATTTTAAAAAAAATCCAAATTATCATAATAAAAATTGTTTTTTACTAATGTAAAAAAAAGTCAATTTAATAAAATAAAATTAATTGATGCAATGAAAAATTAATATTAAATATCGCATTGATCCTTTTTGAAAGTTGATTCTCCAAAACAGGAATCAGGTGCAAATTGGTTTTCCTAAAATGACGATTTTGAAAGTTGGTTTCTTAAAATAGGAATTAGATGAAAGTTGGTTTCATTTGAATACAATTTTCCCTTTTGTTAAAAGGGAGGGATCTATAATGTGACAAATTGTAAACCTCAAGGACCAAACATGGAGAGACCAAGCATGTAATTCGTAAATTGCAACTACTAACTTTGAAAAAAAAAAAACATAAACAAGATCTAAAAATTGGTAGAAGACGTTACGTTATGGTATAAAGAGTTATTAAAAGGTGAATTATAAGAAAATTGGGAGTAAGTTGAGGGGGTTAAGGGTAACGTAATCTTGTTTAAATTAATGCCGGAAGCAACGCGCGTGTGAGCGTGTCCACCGGCCGGCCGACAAAGTCCTGGGAGAACGGTAGCTTAGTCAACCCTTCATAATTTGGGCTCGGTCACCCATTTGGGCTTTTGGTCAAAACAAACCCAATTTTCATTTATTAGTTTTCCTTTTTCCATAAATAAATATAGTCAATAGCAATATATTTTCTATTCATAAATAGCAACCATATTAATATAATTTATTCGTAGAAAAAAAATTAAATCCATTTGGAAAAACATGCCGATCATCAAGTTTGTTACAATATTCCATCAATAATTAATACCAGTTGGTTTTTAAAAAAAATCATTTCAGTAGAAATTCGTTACCCTTTTAGTCCTCCAAATGGCGACTCATGTCGAATAAGGCCAAAGGCCAAAACAAAATTTGTTAAATAAAAAAGGATGGTAAGAGAGAGAACTTTAGTTAACATTTTTAGATCCTTATGTGATGTTTGGTTTGCAGGAATTGGAATGTTAAATTTCATTGTCTAAATTTTATTTCCTTGTTTGGTTTATTTTTTTTTTTAATCAAATGAATCTTCAAAATCATACAAATTCCATAAATAAAGTAATTTAACATTCTTTTAGCAACTACATGGTTTTTTTTGATGGAATGGAATCTTTATCTTTATTATACTAAACATGTATTTAACCTAATATACTTTAATCTCATAAAACTTAATATAACCACTACCACCGTTCTAAACCATCGCCGACTACCACCGATCTGAACCATCGCCAACCACCACCACCGATTTGAACCACCGTCGATTTAGTAACGTCATTTGGCTTATGATTATATTTGGGTTGTGTATTTTATATTGTTTTACATATTAAATAATTATTTTATTAAAATATTTTTAGTTTAAAAAATTTCCAAAAAAGAGCATTTTGGTCATTTGTCAATATTTTATTCCAATTCTAAAGCTACATTTTGTGAACCAAACAAACAGATTTCAATTTCTTAATAGATTTCATTCCAATGTCTGTCAACCAAACAGATGATCAAACCTGACAACATTCTATTCCAATTTTTTCAAAGTCAAATTCCTTTAACATATTTCATTTCATCGAAAAACATTATGCGAACCAAACGCCACCTTAGAGCATCTTTATCATATTCTTTAAAATAGAGAAAGTAGAGGTTTAGGAGGGTGTTCAGATATGGAGATTTTCTCTTAATAGTTATTTATGAGGGAAATGTTTTTTTATTCACTGTATTGAATGTCTTAATGATATAATTAATATTGTAATTTTTAAAATGGAAATATGTAGAACATGAAGGTAAATTTTTTTATAAATTTTGACTTTTGACTTTTTCATTTTTGGAGAAATTTAGAAAAATCTGTTGAAAATGTTTATTATTTGAAGTGAACATGGTACGATATCATTTTTTTTATACCATGTATCGGCCAATTATAATTGGAATGTAAAATTTTATATCGTGTATCAACCAACTATACTTTGTACCAACTTTTTTCGGTTGGTATGGTTTTATATCATCTCGAAACTTGAAGTTACAAATTATATTTGTATTGGTATTTATCAACTAGAGACACTAAAACCATTCAATATTTTAAAAACATGGTGATATGTGATGTGCTACTAATAGTCTAATATAGAAGCATGATTGAGGAGCGACAATGGACCGTGAAGGTGTGTATGAATTACTAACGGTGGTGCCTGATTGATTTGAGCTTGACTTCAAAGGTCAAATGTAGCAGAAGGTATTAGGTTCAAATCTAATGAGAAATAAAAATCTTCTTGTGGCCGCAGAGGTTCAAATGCGGTGACTCTGGGCTATCTGCAAAGCAGGTGGTCACCCTGTGATTAGTCGACTTACATAACAGGTTGGATATCCAGGTTAATCAAATATTGTTGGTTTGTCTTGATACAAATTTACCACTCGCAGTTATTATAGATGTGAATAATGAACTAATCTCTAACAATTAGTCATTTATAGATAAACTATTATTATTTACTTATTGAATTTTTGATCTAAAATATCTTTTAAAAAATCGTTTTTTTACATCGTCTTTCTCCATCAGTTGAAGCTATAACCTCCTTTTCATTGATGCTTAATCAATAAAATTACTAAACAACCCTTAAAGAACGTTATCTGTTAGACCCTAAGGGGTTGTTTGACAATGCTAAATGGTTTGGTGCAGAATGATTAAGTGGTCATAATGATTAAGAGGGTCTCATGATATAGTACAAAATGAAATATAATGTCTGGTAATTGTTTACAATGAAATTAAGGCGCTTAATGGTTAAGGGAGGCCCGGGATACAAAATCATTCAGAATGTTTTAGAACCATTAAAAAACAAACTTTTTTTTTTTGCCAAACAAGATTCATCTCTTAACGTTTTAGATGATGCCTCTTAATAGAACTAGGGATGGCAATGGGGCGGGGACCTCAATACCCGTCCCCGTCCCCGATCCCCCGTATGTGTCCCCGTCCCCGTCCCCATCCCCGCCGGGGATTATGATCACATCCCCATCCCCGCCGGGGATTATGATCACATCCCCATCCCCATCCCCATCCCCAACGGGGAACGGGGATCCCCAACTGGGAAACGGGGATTTTTTTTAAAAACAAAAAATTATTGAAATACACTAATATTAATATAAGACTTAAACAAGACCAAAAAGTTTAAACTAATATTATCAAAGTTAACGTCAAACGTACTAAAATTACATCGAGTAATATAAGACTTAAACAAGACCAAATTGTGATTGCAATTTGAAGGGCT